CTAATTGAAGAGTATTTTTTGTTACTTTGTTTAAGTAATGGGGCTTCCAATGTCAGCAGCCTGTTTAGTTTGAGAGAGCAATGGATTGTTTGCCATGTGTGTGCACTGTATATGTAGACTACACACACAGGTTTTTCTGTACATAAACACGTATTTTATCTGTTTAGGGCTTCAAGCAGCAAGCTCTTACAGTATCCACAGACCCTGAGCATCGCTTCGAACTTGCTCTTCAGCTTGGAGAACTAAAAATTGCGTACCAATTAGCAGTGGAAGCAGAGGTATGTACTAATTTATGATTTTTTGTAACTGATGGAAGGGTCAGTAGGTACTTACATGTGTTTATATAAGTTGTGTTTTAAAGTTTTCTGAAATGCAAATTAGTGACTCATTTTGGTGAGGTTGTTGCCTTCCTTTGGTCTTCTTAAAAAAATGAATTACGTTCATCTTTGCATAAATTAAATGGATTATATTGGAGATATGTATTATTATATTCTTAATATATTCTTAGCATTCTAATTTAAGAAAAAGTGTTTTTTTTTAAATCTTACATGAGATCTGTTTTGGAAGAGAAGGAAAGCTAGAAGATAGTAGATAAAGGAGTCTGGAACTCTAAAAGGATGCAGACACAGCAGTAATTTGCCAATATCCCAAACTAGTGAGGAAGATGTTGGTTTTAAAGAAGGGTTCTGACATTTTGAGACAGTTTGATGACATTTTTATGGATCGTTGTATATTTTGTATACTGAGGGCTCCCAGTTGTGGTTTAAGTCTAGCATTTACTGGTAAATTCATTTCAGATGTACTAAATAAATTTTAGCTATGTTAAGATCATCCAAATGAGCAGCATTTTATTTGATTTCTGAGAAGCTACAAATGACAGAAATAATATTTATTATTAAATATTTAAGGACATAAAAAGTTTTTTCTGCTTTCAAAAAATGGTATTAAATCGTTCCTTAAAATAATTAGTCTAATTACCGTAAAACTCGTTAGTTTTAGTTTCACTGTGTAATTACAAAATAAAAATATAACGGGCTGATGGTTATTCACATGCAGCATTAAATTTGTGTTTGAATTAATCTTATGTATGTGAATAATTTCAGTTTCCTCATTATACATTTTGTCATTCCGTTCTTAATTTGATAGAACCTACTTAAGCACAGCTCAGTATACATAAAATATGTATTTTATAATTATAGAAAATATAAAATTATTATTACAGTAATGTTCAGACTAACAGAATAATGTTGATGTTGGAAATTCAAATGTTTATTTAAAAGATATTTTAATGTGGAATCTCTTTTCTTACAGTCAGAACAGAAGTGGAAACAACTTGCTGAACTTGCCATTAGTAAATGCCAGTTTGGCCTAGCCCAGGAGTGCCTACACCATGCACAGGATTATGGGGGTCTGTTGCTTTTGGCCACTGCCTCTGGAAATGCTACTATGGTGAACAAGCTAGCAGAGGGTGCGGAGAGAGACGGCAAGAATAATGTGGCATTCATGAGCTACTTTTTACAGGGCAAGTAAGTATTAACCCAAGGTCTAAAAGAGGTGGGCACAGTAATAAAGCACTGACTTCAGGGGTGGTCTTTGGAGAGGAACATGAAGAAGGAACCCTGGAGAGAGCGCTGATGCCTGGCCAAGTGGTGCTGCTGACGGGAGCAGGCAGGAGGACAGTGCTGCTTTGGAAGAACGCAAAGGATGCTCTTCAGCAAAGGATGCTCTTACCACTAACATTAGGTCTGATGTTTGAGCAAAATGAGCTGCTCAGGGAGGCTCAACTGGGAGAAATGTTAAACCCCTTTCTCAACAGCCCTGCCACTTACTGGCGAAGGTATTTTATTTAATGAAGGCAGGAGGCTGTTGGGCTGCTTGCTGCATTTGGTACCTGAGTGGCAGTTCATTTTACCCAAGTTGAATAATTCTGATCTGCTTACAACAAAAATAAGGTGGATGAGGATGCCAGTTACTTTCAGATTTGATTTCAGCTATAAAGCATAAAAATGTCATGTATTAAAAAGTCTAGCAGTTAGTGCATATCAGATCATTAGTTGACCATATGATGAAATAAAACACAAAAGTATTCATTAACTTTGCCCTACATACTTTTTAAACCTCGCACTTAATCATAGAAACTTTGAATGTGTTTTTTATAACATATGTATGTGTAAGTTTATATACCTGTAAGAATAGGTCCACTATTTCTTATCAATAACTCAAAAACCCAAAACCATTCTGAGAATATTTTATTTGGTGGCAAAACTTGGCCTAACGCTGAAGTATTATTATTAGTTGCTTTTATGCCACTTGGTTTGTTTTTATTGCATTTAGTATTCATGAGTTATAGCAGAATATTGATGTTTGTGACTCTGATGCTGAGGGTATTATGTAACGTATGGTATATGTACTTTCTAAAATCCAAAAGGTATTTTTAAAATCCAAAAAATTCTGAGTTCTAAAGCATGTTATCCACTTTATCAGACTTACCCAGGAAAAAGTTAAAATTAAAAAAAGAAAATGGACACCTGGATATTTTCCTACTGGGCACCACTGGATTGTCCAGCACAGTCCATGTTAGAGATGCTGCCCTCAAAACTGTATTTGTGAAACCGAGTTTCTGCTCTTCATATTCTGAAGCCCTTAAATGTGCTCATCTAAGCTTCCTTGTTTTAAAAAGCCCCTTTAGATTCTTCTTAGGGAAGTTAAGGAGATTGAAAAATCTCTCACACTCCTGGAGCCCGTTATGTAACACACTGGTGATGACAAGTTAGTGGCTCAGTGACAGAAAAGAGGTGTATGTGTGAGAGTTGGAGAGGGAGTGCTGACTTGCCAGCACTAAACCCACATTTCTTTAATGTGTTAAGTGCCATTATTATAGCATTTATTCTTGGTAACAGTGCCTCTCCTTTTTAATCTTTAGGCTTGATGCTTGCCTGGAGCTCTTGATTAGAACTGGACGACTGCCAGAAGCTGCCTTCCTGGCACGGACTTACTTACCCAGTCAGGTTTCAAGGTACAGACTTTTCATTTTAGGAAGATATGTTTCAGATAAAAACAGAGCCCCTAACAGTCTCCCAATGGTTCTATGATATCTGTAATAGGGTGGTGAAACTCTGGAGAGAAAATCTCTCAAAAGTCAATCAGAAAGCAGCAGAATCCCTTGCTGATCCAACAGAATATGAAAACCTTTTCCCTGGATTAAAAGAAGCCTTCGTTGTAGAAGAATGGGTGAAGGAAACACATGCTGACCTGTGGCCGGCCAAACAATATCCACTTGTCACGGTGAGCGCGTGGGGTGCCTCATCCCGTGTGACTACGGGGTGGAAAGGCATTCACGACTTAAGGTTTTGAACTGCACCACATACATTATGGTTTGATTAGGAGCTAGTATCTGGGATTTAGGCCAAGTTTATAGATGAATTATGCTTTCAGAATATCTCATTTCATCATTGCTTTATTCTCTGATAGCCAAATGAAGAAAGAAATGTTATGGAAGAGGCAAAAGGCTTTCAGCCCTCAAGATCTGCATCTCAGCAGGTCAGTCAGACATGAGGAAGTCTGGTTGAGATTTGGTGATTTTAAGTACCATTTCCCACTTCCTAATCCTCGTCTGCCTTCCCTTCGGGAAAAATTTCAAATTCCTAAACAGATTCCTTTGTTTTTATGTGTGTTTCTACTTGGGTTTTCAGGAACTTGATGGGAAACCTGCTTCTCCTACTCCTGTTATTGTGGCCCCCCCCACAGACAACAAAGAAGAAAAGGTACGGACATCATACCCAACTTCCTATTGGACCCCAGCCTCACCCTCCCTCCTCACAAATGTCTGCAGGATGTGCAGGCCTCTGCGTTTAAGTGATGTATCAGTTTCAGAGCAGGGGTTCTGAAATGAGAAAATGCCCCCTTTTGACTGTTGTTTTAGTTCTCTTTGGTTCATGAATCACAGATAACTCTTCTTTAATAACTTTGCTTTAACACAGTACTATGTAAGTCACCCTCTTCCTTTTCTTTGCAGAGTTTACTTGAACTGGAAGTAGATTTGGATAATTTGGAATTAGAAGATATTGACACAACAGATATCAACCTGGATGAAGATATTTTGGATGACTGAATAATGTTTCCCATTTACTCAACTAAACAGATCATTATTATGGACAGGTATTGATCATCACCCTGACCACAGTGCTTTGGACTCTGAGAAACTCCTTAGATTTTTATACGCAGACGCTGTGGCCCACTGGGAGCACAATGCCCTCATCTTCGGAGGAGTTTATGTGCAGCATCTAAATCACAATGTTTCCTTGTTAACTAAGACTGCTGTGGGCTTTGATTTTTTTCATACTGTCATTAAGACCATATCTCATAAAATCTTTTGAATTAATGAAGATACTTCAAAGTTTCCTTTCTGCATAATGAAAATAGGATTCTAGTTTTAGAAGGCTGAGCCAAAACTACACCTCACCTAGGGATCAGCCCACATTCTCTTTTCTTTGAATAAGTATTTTCAAATACCATCAATCACATTTTTCTTAGAACTGAATATCCGTGCTAAACCATTTTCCTTGACCTCATGGCATTATTCCTCTCTATGTAGCTTTCTTATGCCTTGCCCTGACTTTGTCTGGTAGGTACCCGTTTCTGGAATCGGGGTCTGAAACTCCAGCTCCTCTGACCTCATTAAGCTGGGCTCTAGTTAAATTACCGACTGACTGGCCCATTTGGTAACACAGAGAGGCATAGTACTTTTTTCTTCCTTTCTTGTTACACTGTACTCATCTGACATGATTAGAAAACTTCATAACCAGGCACTAAGATGTACTTCTCAGTTATCCCCTTGTAGCCTAGGAAAGTGAGCAGAGTAACAAGTTTTTCTTTGTATTTCTGATAGAGGCACTACTTGGAATTTAAAAAACAAAAGAAGTAATTTTATAGGGAGGGAACTCCCAATTTTGACATTTTTAAACCACTCAGTATTAACAAACAGAGAAAACTAGCCAGTATTTAGTAAAATGAAATTTATTTAAAAAGTATTTTTAGGAAGCTGCAGAATTGCTAATGAATGCATCTTGATAAGCCTGCAGTGTTAATTCTATATATGCTCCCTTCTGTGCTTCTGTTTCTGCAAAGACCTGTTTAAAAAAAAAGTTTGAAAATAGTAATAGAGCATATACTATTGATAGTTTTTAGTTTTGAGACATCACTAACATTTCTGTAGTAGCAAAGGAAAGTCCCAGTTTAAAAAGCCTTCCACATTTCCAGTATTTTTCTGATTACCAAACAATAAGCATACTACATGGACAGAAAACAGTATCACAGTTAAAGCAATACTAATTCTAAACTAAACAAACACCAGAGGTATCCAAATATGGATGCCATCTTTCAGGAAAAAATTAAGAAACCTGACATTGCTGGATCAAAATAAAAACCATTAGGTTCAAGAGAAATCTGGAGGATAAGAGTTAGCAAACTGATTTTTCACTTTAAAGAATGGTTTCTTTTCTACCCCACCTATGATGTCATCATCACTGGTTGTTTTTATCCTTAGTAAGCTTTGTAACTGCTTTGAAGTATGCATGAAGTAATATTGGGATAGAAGCCAGATCCACAAATACGTGTCTATCCTGAGCATTAGAATCTAGAGATGAAAATTATACAATGGTCTCCCCTTCCCTTCCTGAAAAAAAATCATCTCTCAACATTTACAGAGACATCTATGTTAGCCCATAGTCTTGAGAGGTATGCAATTCCAAAATGATAGCACAACTAAGGCTTGGTATTTATACAAGCACTACCCTCCCAGCTTCTGGACACCTGGAACAGGAATGTGACCGAACTGGAGGACAGGAAGCTGCACTGGGGATGTGTACTACCCAGCAGTCCTCCACCACGCCCTGCTGGTGCCCTGACCACTTAGTTGCCAGTACTGCAAAAAACAAGGGGGCTACTGCCCCACTGTGTGAACTTCTTGGACTCCAGCAGCAGCTCTGTTTCTACTGTCCAGGCTAAAGAAATATGGTAGCTCCGATCACTCTGGTTCAAGGCCACAAATCTGTTTAGTTACCGTTAAATATGACCCACTTAAAAATTCTTTCCAACTCAGTCACCACACAGTAGCTAATGTGAAAAAAGTCCCTTTACCTTAACTAAATGTAATCCCTCAGCAGCCTGCTCTTTGGCCTCTTGAGCTGACTGGCCATCTGGATGGAGGATGTGATAGAGCTGGACCAAGCTGGTGGCATCATCGACTCTAGAGGGAAAGGGTTTACTGTTAAAAAGGTTTATTGTTTTCTTCTTTTTAAATTTTTGTTTGTACTGTTTTCTTCTTTTGCTTCACAGTCCTATAAAATGTGCCAAACTTTAAATTACATTTCAAACTTCCCTTGGGCCAGAAAAAAATTTTTATGGCCTTCAGTTTCATATTTTCAAAGGCACTTTCAGGAATACTGTCTAATTTAGGCTTCATTTCAACTCTGAGATAGGTAGGGCAGGAGTCAATACAGGCAGGGCCCAATTTATGACAGTGAATGTATTCTAAATGTGGCTGTATCCTTTTTGGAAGCAGAACATCATTTCTTGTAGAGACAGCGTTCTAATGGTAGATGATTTCCAAGCCAGCCCGCATCATCAGCAGGTAACATAATCCAACTCAGGGGGTGTGACTGTACCTTCATCCTACATAAGCCGGAGGCTGGTGGTCATGGGGATTGCTCAGTGCCACCATTGCAGTGACATCTGCTAACAAATGTTCATTGAGACAGATGCCTCTGTATGAAGCATTTTAGGAGTCCAAGGCAAGACTCCCAGGCCTCCCGTATTCACAGGAACCCATCAGTTAAAAATCAGCATCCTAGGGAAGCAAATGTGCAATTATGCATACCACACAAAAGGAAAGTCAGGTTCTACCTCAGCAGCCTATCTAGGGTCACACAACTATCTATGATGAAGCCATAACAAAAAAGCTCAAGTCTTACAGTTTGTACTTACCTTTTGTGAAACCTATAAACAATGTTTATCAACCTTAAAACTTAGCCTTCCCCAAACTAAATAATCTCTGTGCTCTCACACAGTCAATACCTTCCTACCATTTGCCACCTCAAAGCTGAGAGGGTATATAAAAATAACCCTTCTAATGGCTTCACAGGCGAATTCTATCAAACATTTAGAGAAGAGCTAACACCTGTCCTTCTCAAGCTCTTCCAAAATACAGCAGAGGGAGGAACACTCACAAATTCATTCTAAGAGGCCACCATCACCCCGATACCAAAACCAGACAAAGATGTCACAAAGAAAGAAAACTATAGGCCAATATCACTGATGAACATAGATGCAAAAATCCTCAACAAAATACTAGCAAACAGAATCCAACAGCACATTAAAAGGATCATACACCATGATGAAGTGTGGTTTATCCCAGGAATGCAAGGATTCTTCAATATAGGCAAGTCAATCAATGTGATACACCATATTAACAAGTTGAAGGAGAAAAACCATATGATCATCTCAATTGATGCAGAAAAAGCTTTTGACAAAATTTAAACCCATTTATGATAAAAACCTGCAAGAAAGTAGGCATAGAGGGAACTTACCGCAACATAATAAAGGCCATATATGACAAACCCACAGCCAACATCGTTCTCAGTGGTAAGAAACTGAAACCATTTCCGCTAAGATCAGAAACAAGACAAGGTTGCCCACTCTCACCACTATTATTCAACATAGGTTGGAAGTTTTAGCCACAGCAATCAGAGAAGAAAAAGAAATGAATCAAAATCAGAAAAGTAAAACTGTCACTGTCTGCAGATGACATGATACTATACATAGAGAATTCTGAAGATGCTACCAGAAAACTTCTAGAGCTAATCAAGGAATTTGGTAGAGTAGCAGGATACAAAATGCAGAAATCTCTTGCATTCCTATATGCTAAAGATGAAAAATCTGAAAGAGAAATTAAGGAAACACTCCCATTTACCACTGCAACAGAAAGAATAAAATAGAAACCTACCTAAGGAGACAAAAGACCTGTATGCAGAAAACTGTAAGACACTGATGAAAGAAATTAAAGATGATACAAACAGATGGAGAGATATACCATGTTCTTGGATTGGAAGAATCAACATTGTGAAAATGACTCTACTACCCAAAGCAATCTGCAGATTCAATGCAATCCCTATCAAACTACCACTGGCATTTTTCACAGAACTAGAACAAAAAGTTTCACAATTTGTATGGAAACACAAAAGACCCCGAATAGCCAAAGCAATCTTGAGAAAGAAAAATGGAGCTAGAGGAGTCAGGCTCCCGGACTTTATACTACAAAGCTCCAGTAATCAGGACAGTATGGTACTGGCACCAAAACAGAAATATAGATCAATGGAACAGGATAGAAAGGCCAGAGGTAAACCCACGCACATATGGTCACCTTATCTTTGATAAAGGAGGCAAGGATATACAATGGAGAAAGGACAGCCTCTTCAATAAGTGGTGCTGGGAAAACTGGACAGCTACAGGTAAAAGAATGAAATTAGAACACTCCCTAACACCTATACAAAAATAAGCTCAAAATGGATTAAAGACCTAAATGTAAGTCCAGACACTATAAAACTCTTACAGGAAAACATAGGCAGAACACTATGACATAAATCACAGCAAGATCTTTTTTGACCCACCTCCTAGAGAAATGGAAATTAAAACAAAAATAAATGAATGGGACCTAATGAAACTTAAAAGCTTTTGCACAGCAAAGGAGACCATAAACAAGGTGAAAAGACAACTCTCAGAATGGGAGAAAATATTTGCAAATGAAGCAACTGACAAAGGATTAATCTCCAAAATATACAAGAAGCTCATGCAGCTCAATAACAAAAGAACAAACAACCCAATCCAAAAATGGGCAGAAGACCTAAATAGACATTTCTCCAGAGAAGACATACAGACTGCCAACAAACACATGAAAAGATGCTCAATATCACTAATCATTAGAGAAATGCAAATTAAAGCTACAATGAGCTATCACCTCACACCGGTCAGAATGGCCATCATCAAAAAATCTATGAACAATAAATGCAGGAGAGGGTGTGGAGAAAAGGGAACCCTCCTGCACTGTTGGTGGGAAGGTAAACTGATACAGCCACTATGGAAAACAGTATGGAGGTTCCTTAAAAAACTAAAAATAGAACTACCATACAACCCACCAATCCCACTACTGGGCATATACCCTGAGAAAACCATAATTCAAAAAGAGTCATGTACCACAATGTTCATCGCAGCTCTATTTACAATAGCCAGGACATGGAAGCAACCTAAGTGTCCGCTGACAGACGAATGGATAAAGAAGATGTGGTACATATATACAGTGGAATATTAGCCATAAAAAGAAACGAGATTGAGTTATTTGTAGTGAGGTGGATGGACCTAGAGTCAGTCATACAGAGTGAAGTAAATCAGAAAGAGAAAAACAAATACCGTATGCTAACACATATATATGGAATCTAAAAAAAAAAAAATTGGTTCTGAAGAACTTAGGGGCAGGACAGGAATAAAGACACACACGTGGAGAATGGTCTTGAGGACACGGGGAGGGGGAAGGGTAAGCTGGGACGAAGTGAGAGAGTGGCATGGACATATATACACTACCAAATGTGAAATAGCTAGCTAGTGGGAAGCAGCCGCATAGCACAGGGAGATCAGCTCGGTGCTTTGCGACCACCTTAGAAGGGTGGGATAAGGAGGGTGGGAGGGTGATGCCAGAAGGAGGGGATATAGGGATATATGTATCCATATAGCTGATTCACTTTGTTATAGAGCAGAAACTAACACAACATTGTAAAGCAATTATACTCTGATAAAGATGTTAAAGGAAAAATAAAAACCCTTCTAGAGTGGGGTAAAGAATTTCTCAAGACATGGTGACCTTTGAGAGATGCTCTGGGCTCGTTCCAAGGCCCATCCACCCTAAAGGCCATGTCTTGGTAGAACTAAGAAGCCAGAAGTGAGAAAGTAAAACTTTCCAGAGGAAAAATATTTTTTAAATGTTCAGTATAAATCTGTTGTGTTTGTTGTAATCTAATAGTCCAATAAACGTGACAACAAAAGATAACAGTAATTCTCTTTAGAGCATAACCATGTGAACCCATAAAGAGCTTAAATGGGTTTCTATATCTTAGTCATGCTTAGGGCTTCTTTACGTTCATGCTACAGTACGATGCCTGTGTCTCACAGAATAATTTAGCTTCACACCCAGCCCATATTTGAAATTAAAAAAAAATAAATTTACATGTAAAGATTTTAAAGGCATCTCAATTCAAAACCAACAGTGGAACTTCAGTTTGAAATAAATGTGCAGAATCTCAATTCTGGCCTGGGCTCCGTTCACTGAGGACATGCACCCTCTACTGTTTAGCCTGGGATTTGCAGCAAACTGTCCTGTTCGGCATTCCCACAGAAGTTTTACTTAAGCAGATCAGGAAATTCAGGGAACTCAACGTTCCCTCCCAGTATGCAAATGAACTGCTTCAGAGGTAAAGCGTATGTGTGATGAGTATTACTAGAATATCGCATATTAGTACTCCTCGATAAAGAACCTTAATTTTCGAAGAAATACAGTTTTTTAAAAAAATTTATTCCTTTTTGGCTGTGTTGGGTCTTCATTGCTGTGCATGGGCTTTCTCCAGTTGCGGTGAATAGGGGCTACTCTTCACAGCGGTGCGCAGGCTTACTGCGGTGGCTTCTCGTTGCAGAGCTCGGGCTCTAGGCAAGTGGGCGCAGTAGTTGTGGCTCGCAGGCACTAGAGCGCAGGCTTGTGATGCACGGGCTTAGTTGCTCCTCGGCATGTGGGATCTTCCTGGACCAGGGATAAAACCCGTGTCCCCTGAATTGGCAGGTGGATTCTTAACCACTGCACCACCAGGGAAGTCCACAAGTACATTTCTGTGTTGCTCTAATTTCTTATAAAAAATGTTAAATTCGGGCTTCCCTGCTGGCGCAGTGGTTAAGAGTCCGCCGATGCAGAGGACGCCGGTTCTTGCCCCGGTCCGGGAAGACCCCACATGCCGCAGAGCGGCTGGGCCCCTGAGCCATGGCCCCTGAGCCTGCGCCTCCGGAGCCTGTGCTCCGCAACGGGAGAGGCCACAACAGTGAGAGGCCCACGTAGCGCAAAAAATTTAAAAAAGTTAAATTCTTTTTATAATAAAATAATTTCAGAATATTTACATTTGAGGAGCTTTATAAGAAAATTCATTCACAGGAGATGTCACTGCTAATGCACCTAAAGGCAAGTCATTTTTGAGCATCCTCATGACCACCAGCAGCCTCTTGCTTATGTGGGATGAAGGTATATTTCTGCCCTCTCAATTGGATTACACTACATATGCTGGAGAAGAGGGCTAGCCTGGAAATCACTTACCATTAGGAATGATGTTTCTATGAGAAATGACACTGTTTCCACATGGGCTGTAATTCTTAGACAATATGGAACCTTCTAGTTCCAAATGCCTTTACCTTTGTGTGAACGGTTCAGATTACACGGAGGATAGTCTGAGTCAAAACTCCTTACATTCAAGATGGCAATAATCACTAAGCTCTCTGGTGACTTTCTTACTACAGCCGTGTTGGTTTCTTTTCCTTGTTATTTTGGCCTTTCTCTAACTCAACCAATGGAAAGATACTCGAAAATAATCTTCTCCTCAGTTCATCACAAGTTGTAAAGTATTATTTCAGCTAGAAGGCTGGGTGCACACCAGTTGAATGCTAAAATACAACAGACATTCTTTGTTTCACGCAACTTTGAAAAAAACCTGTAACCTTTTTAATGCCTTAAAAATCTTGCAAAAACAAGGAGGATCAAAAGCAAGAGTATTTTCATAAATTAAATGACTTTTACTGAAAAGCACCCATCAGAGCTTATGTCTACTTCTTTACATTTCCTATTTAATCCCCTTTAAGTATATGGAAAATTCACTGGTATCCAGGAGCACCAGTAAGGCCAGGGGTAAGTCAATATCTAGGGTATACAGTACAGATCCAAAGCCATTTACTCTTTCAAAGAATCCAGCCCTGTTTACACAACACAGAAGCAAAGACTGAGAAAACTGGATTATACTGGAAAAACAAACCCATAAACAAACTGAGGTAAGTGAAATCTATCACTGGACAGTACATTGTTATCACTGGAAAAATAACATAGATTAAATACAAGTTTAATGATAATAAGAATTTCTTTACTTACTAAGATCATACTTACAAATCTCTCTGAATCTGGTCAATCAGTAAACCATCAATCTTTTTCTTATTTACAAAATACCAAGCCATTCCACCGAAGTGTCTTGTTGAACGTAAAAGGTCATACTTTCCATATTTATCTATATCTTCGTAGGTCTGATGATGAATCTATCCACACAAAATGCAACTTTTCAGAAATATGAAAATAAATAGAAGTGAGCAGCATTACTGGGTATACATCTACTAGCATGTGAGCTGCCTAAGAAAGTATCAGTAAACGAGGTCTACTTATACCGACCTCCACTATCACTAACCAGCAGGTATGATTTAGACCAGCCCTCTACTGTAAAAGTATATAGGGCCTGGAACAAGTCTGCCAAACATTTATAGCCAGATCAATTACTCTTCAGCAGCCACGCACTATTTTTTTTTTTTTTTTTTTGCGGTACGCGGGCCTCTCACTGTTGCGGCCTCTTCCCTTGCGGAGCACAGGCTCCAGATGCGCAGGCTCAGCGGCCATGGCTCACGGGCCCAGCCGCTCCGCGGCATGCGGGATCCTCCCGGACCAGGGCACGAACCCGTGTGTCCCCCGCATTCGCAGGCGGACTCTCAACCACTGCGCCATCAGGGAAGCCCAGCCACGCACTATTTATGAAGCTCCTATTACATATATATATATATATGGACCACTGGAAATAATGGGCCACCACTCCCTTTTTTCCCTATCCAATCAACTACCCCACACTAACTTATTAACTAATGTTCCTTCAGTTCTTCTAGAGTGATCTTCCTAAATGAGGACTTTGATGAGGGCATTCTTGTGTTCAAAAGGCTGCTGACTGAAGTCCAGATTCATCAGCCTAGCATCTGAGGTCACCTGTGATATGGCCCCATCTACCTTTCTAGCTTAATCTTGAACCACTCCCCTACCTATACACTGCATGTACAAGCAAACCAGATGACTGGCCATTTCTCAAGTATACTTTGTTTCCTGCCTGTTGTTCATACTTTCCCCTCTACCTGAAACACCTCTCCTCACCCAACTCCACCAGCCATAATGTTCCCTGCCCTTCTAGAACCCTCTTCAAGAGCCCTATGACGCCTGAGAGCAGGTTGTAACCTTCTCTTAGCACCTAACATCTTAGACCTACAGTGCTAATTATCTGTATACTTAACTAGCACTCTTCCCCACAATCATTTGTGGACTTTGACAGGGCTCCCTATCCTAGTTCATGCCATAACCTACACCTCCACAATACCTTATACATGGAAGGTACTATATGATTATTTATTAAACTGAACTGTAAGATACATACACTGCATTCTGGCAAATTTCCGTGAACAACTGTTTTCCTGTGTGATTAACTGAAAAAAGAATAGTCTTTGCCATCAAGCTTGGGTCTTATCTCTACCACTGACTAGCTGTGCAACTTTCAACAAGTTACTTAACTCTCTTAAATTCTCTCATCCTTCAGTCAAGGGTTGCGAGGATGAAAATATCTATCTGGTGTACATCAGGCACTTGATAGGTGTTCAGGCATTTCCCTTCTCTTCCCCCTGTATCAAAGCTTATAACCGAACTCATTGTGCTGGATTAAAAAATCATACTCATAACCATACTTAAGCCCATACTTTAGAAACTGCAGAATATACTCACTTTGATATATTCAGCAGAATCTGGCTCAAACTGGGCAACGCAGAGATTGAGGACATCAGCATGCCGGTCCTGGCTGTACATGGTCTAAACCAACACACGCAGAATTAGATGAGAAGAACATGAGAGTGCAATGCCTGTCCTGACGCCATGCCGGACCTGCCCATCCACACACAGGCCACATCTGTGCCCAGCAAGAGGGATGCAGAAACAACACAGGCTTCGTAACTGTCACACCTGGATTCAAATCCTACCTAAGCCAATTACAAGATAAATAACCCTCCTTATCATTAGAAATGTCTGTTTATCAAAGCAAAATGCCCAGCAGCACCAGAGCCAACTGTTCAACAAAGAAACCATCAGCACTACCTCTATGAAACCAAAATCACCTTACCTGAAGCTTTTCTTCCTTGAAAATTACTGGTGTTAAAACTCTACGACCTTCTTTTGGGAAATAAACTTGAATCATCCGGTCCCTTTCTTCCCAAGAGGCTTTGCGTAGTGTGCCACCTGGTTCTCTGACAACAATAAAACGCTCCTGAAATAGAAAACGTAGTCAAGGATGAGTCCGTGAGGACTTAATTTTTAGTTCCAGTGTCTCACTAAGCACCATTATAAGAATAACTTGCAATCAACAATATAAAATGCAACCGGGAAACATAAGATGCAATCATCTGTATGATTTCAATGATAACTGTAAGCCTCAAAGACCTGGCGAGATTTGATACTCCCTTCACTGATCACTGCCGTGCCTCTGACAAGCAGAAACCTAAATCAAAGTATGTACTAAATGTGATCTATAGCCGTCAAGTGGGTTCAATACATAAAACGGTTCAACTAAAAAAAGGTGACCTGAGATTCATCTAAATACATTTCAGAAGAAAGAAGTGCTATAAAACCTTTCTGAATTATTTCATTTCCCCATCCTAAAGTCTCACACAGACAGACTTTACTACTTTATGATTTATGTTTAAAGTCCCAGGGATTGAAGGAACAAACCCAAAGGTGTGGAGTCTTAATCCCACACCTCTGCGATGCCTCATACTCGAGACAAAAGTGTCAGAGACTGGCTGGTCCGCCTGCCAAATCCCAGGCCACAGGACTGCTTCCTCCACTGAATTCCACCCACTGTGTGTACCACCCAACTGGCAATTTATCACGTGCAGGATTCTTAACACCTCTCAGATATTGTTAATATTGTTACAGAACTGGAAGAGGTCAGGAATTGTGGATTACAATTCTTTGCAACACCCAGAGTGACTTACACAGAGCTTTGCACATAGCAGATAAATGAGACCCATCTGATTAATGTTTAAATTAACCAGATGGTACTGACACTCAACTCTTGAGAGATGTTATGGGTCTCTGAATGTGTTCTGAGGATAATATAATTAAAACTTTCATCAAGCACTGCAAATAGAAAAAAAAATAGCAGATGGCAAAGTAACACAGTTGTTCCTCAAAAGGATTTTGGTAATTTGAATTCCAAGTTCCTTTCTCCCTCTCAGGTTATAGAATGCTCCCACAACCAGCCTGCACAGCACTGCAAACATATATAAAAGCAAAAACTCTAATTAAAAATGAAACTGATCCCTGTTCATTATGTCAGATATACAGGTGATTGATGTACAGACATGGACATTGCTCAAATCATGTCTTCTAACCAAAATCACATATGATAAAAAGATTAGTACAGGGTGGCCCTTTTCCCAGCCCTATCACTATGCAATATTCTACTGCATCTTGTGGGCTGAACTGTAAATTACTCTTTTACTCTTTACTTGAAAAGGCTCAAACAACAACTAATATATTTTGTAAGTGCCAGAGTGTTCTTTTGGAACTGGCAATCAGAGGAAGAGGAGCTAGACAATAAAAACTACAACAGATGAAGTGGTGCCTGAAAATTATCTGGGGAAACCTGCCATTTTTACTGCAAATTCTGAACAGTGAAAATCCTTCAGGAAGTCTGAGTTTTTTGGGCATCAGCAAGAATTTCCATCTTAAAAAGCTTCAGCTACGGAAATCAGTCTAACTTGGGCAGAATCTCCCTTCTCCTATATTGCCTTGAAGATACTTTCCTATTTGTGGTTTGAGGGTAGGTTTCTGTCTTGTTCTGTCTCAGCACACCTGTCTCTTTTTCTGCAGTCAATCTGGAAATACTGTGTTCATAATCTGTAAGGAAATGGTGACATGATGATATGGTGCTGGTTTGCATTTTTCTTCTTTATGCTGTGTCTGCCAGGTCTCACTCAGTCGCAGAAATTCTGGTTTGGAAGATTCAGAGACAGCTGGGTCACACGATGTTGACCCTCGTCCCTCAGGCCCATCTCTACACAGTATTTCAAATAAAAATCATTTTGCAATTAGACATACACTTACCCGGTGTGGTATGCAATATGATATATCAGTAAACACGTATTTGGCTGTTTCTGTTCCTTCCAAAATCTTATCTTCAGCTAACACGTCATTTATTGGCGCTCGCTCTTCCAGAACTGGTGGCATTTTTAATCGGACTTTAGCCGCCTCGGCTGCCTGTCTTGTAGCCTAATGAAATAAAATATTTCTTGGGAAAGCCGCAAGGTTACAGACCAAAAGGATCACCTGACAAAAGCAGATACTAATGAAAAATGCTAAAGACTTCAAAGAGAAGAAGCTGTAGCCATGAATAAGTGAGTAAAAAGCCAAACTTGGGCTCCTGGGCCCTGGTCTTTGCCTCTGTGGTGTGGCTGAGAGCACTAGCTACAGGCTTAACCACTCTCAAAACAGCAAAGGGATGCTCAAAGACAGAGCCAGGCCACAAAAGCTGCCCGAAATAGGACAAAGGATTTCACTTATTGGGTGCTTACTATATGTTTAAATATTTTGTATTATATTTGGCTCATTTAATGCCCACAACTACCTTATGAGCTAAGTGCTACTGTTATGTCATTTTATGAGAGAGAAAATAGAGGTACACAAATGTTAAGTAAATTGCTAAGAAGCTGCAGCACTAGGATTTGAACCCAGGCAACTTAACTCCAGAGCCCCTGCCCTTAACCACTGAGCACACTGCTCCATGCCATACTGTTAACGGTGGTTACCTCTGAGAGGTGAAAGGGGCCCTTCGTGTGATACGCTATTGGGTATTTGAATTTTTTGCTATGACTCTTAATTATTTTTGAATTAGAAAGAAGAGCTATTGCTCTTCACATATTCATACATCAAAGCATTTTCCACAAAGCACTCAATACCCACGACTCCAGGAGGACCCTTGCCTGGAGTTGGACACTGTCCAGAAGGATCTCATAATCTCACCAAAGCCTCAGCCTCAAAGTACTCACAACAAATGTTCCTCTAGGAAGGAAGCTGGAACAGGCAGCACAAAGGGAGGCTGATCAAGCTGGTTCTGGAGCAGAGGCGGCTCTGCCGGACAGCCAGGCCTGGACCACACGCCCAGTCTGCCTAATTTTGGCCACACCCCCTGCTCCTCTCTGCCTGCCTGCTCACATTTCTTTTCTCACTTCTGTGCCTGCAACTCCCCCTCACTAGCACCTGTGGAAGAGCAGCTACCAGCGTCTGAAGGGGTCCTGGAAATCTTGTTTAATCCTTTAAAGGAAGGTATTATACCAATATTCTTACATTCACATACCTCTTCCAACTGTGCTTGGGTCATTAGCTTATAAGTTGGTGGCTTCACTTCTTGTATAGCTGGCTTAAAAATCTTCTTCAGATCTAAGCCTGTCATCTTGATGAGTATGCTTTGGACTTCCTCATCCATAAAGGTAGGTTTCTTGATCTTTGAGCTACCAGATTCTGTTAAAATGAATTTTTAGTAAATAAGATGTCAAAAATGACAAACCAACAAGACCTCTAAATGGAAAAGTCAACAATAAAAATTATTAACACAAGGTCTACCTCAGTATGCATAATACTAATACCTACAAGATTCCTTCATTCATTCATTTAAAATTACTGAGCATTCACTATGATAAAGATACAGTTTCTGCCAAAAAGGCACTGAAAGTCTAGTGAAGAAAGCAACATGAAAAAAGTAGCTAATGCAACATTAACAACAATCATGGTTACTACCATCTACAGAGTTGTCTCCTATATGCCGCTCATTACATACATTTTCAGGAATGCTTACAACAACCCACAAAATACTGATATCCCAGTTTTGTAAATCAGGATATCGGATATTGGAGTCTTCCTAAAGACAACTAGCTATTAAATGATAGAGCCAGGATTTAAACTGCAGTTTATCTGATGCCAGAGCCTAGATCAATTCCACTCTTCCATTACATTCCTTAGAGCAAGTGCTACATACAAGGAAGGTACAGGGGGTTGTGTGATTACAGAGGCAGAAACTAAACATAGCCTGGGAGCAGAGAAGGGCATGGTAGGGTCAAAGAAGGCTTCCCAGGTGCCTGAATAGAGCAGAGAAAAAGGGAAGGAAATTCTAGGCTGAGGGGATCCAGCTAGGAAAAAGAGGCCTGGGTCACTGGACATGACACTGAAGAGGTCATGTGGCATCATAGAAGAAAGCTGGACAGAAGAGGAGGAGACTCAGATCTCAGCTCTGCCTTATGCAGCTTGCCTATCCCTTTGCCCAACCTCCATTTCCATTAGAAAAAAAAAAGCCATTCCTTCCCAACCACCTCTTCCTCTGCTAGTCCTATAAATGCTGGCGTCCTGGTGTCCCTCAGGATTCTGAACTACATTCTTCTTTTCTCCCTTCTCACATTCTTGATGGATGATCTCCTAAAGTCCTATAATTACTTCTATATGCTGGAGACTCTAAAATCTGAATCTCCAGCCAAGATCATCTTCCATCCAACTACCCAATGGATATCTCACATGCAGTTCAATACTGCCAAAGCAGAACCCATAACTTCTCTCCTGTCACAAACCTGCTTTTCCTATTATCCTTAGCACCATCCAATAGGTCACGTGGGCCAGAAGCCTACAGTCATTCTTGATTTCTCCTTTACCCTCCACATCTAGCCAACAGCAGGAGTAATGTTAGCAGCTGACACTTGTTAGATATTTACTATGTGCCGGTACTAACTACTTTACATACTTGGCACGTTTAATCCTCCTAACAACCCCACAAATACTACGATTATCCCCATTTTACAAAAAAGGATACTGACACAACACATACTGCCTGTTACACCTCATAAATCGGTCTTTAATCCTCCATTTCCCACTGCCACTACTCTAGTCAAGGCCATCCTATCTCTTGCCTTAGCCTCCTAACCTATCCCCCTGCCTCCATTCTGACCGTTCTCCACAGAACAATCACAGTCATCTCTTAAAAATGTAATTCAAACAACAGAAAAGATTAACAAAGAGTTCGTTCATTGAAAAGATAAGCAAAATTGACAAACCTTTAGCTAGACCAAGGAAAAAAGAGGACCCAAACCAACAAAATTGTAACTGAAAAACACATTACAACCGATACTACAGAATTTCAAAGGATCGTAAGAGGCACGAACAACTATATGCCAACAAACTGGACAACCTAGAAGAAATGGAAAAATTCTTAGAAATATACAATCTACCGAGACAAAATTGGGAAGAAATAGAAAATCAAAACAGACCAATTACTAGTAAAAAGACTGAATCAGCAATAAAAAATTCTCCCAATGAAGAAAGGCCCAGGACCAGATGGCTTCACAGATGAATTTTACCAAACATTTAAAGAATTAATGCCCATCCTTCTCAAACTCTTCCAAAAAATCGAAGAGGAGGGAACACTCCCAAACTCATTTTATGAGGCCAGCATTAACCAAAGCCAATAAAGGATACTAACAGAAAACTACAGGCCAGGACTTCCCTGGTGGTGCAGTGGTTAAGAATCCGCCTGCCAATGCAGGGGATATGGGTTCGAGCCCTGGTCCAGGAAGATCCCACAAGTCGCGAAGCAACTAAGCCCATGCACCAGAACTACTGAGCCTGTGCTCTAGGGGCTGCGCATTGCGACTACCGAGCCCACATGCTGCAACTACTGAAGCCCGTGAGCCTAGAGCTCAGGCTCCGCAACAAAAGAAGCCACCACAATGAGAAGCCCGCACACCACAATGAAAAGTAGCCCCCGCTCGCTGCAACTAGAGAAAGCCCACGCACAGCAACAAAGACCCAACAATAAATAAATAAATAAATAAAAACTACAGGTCAAACATTCTCAATAAAATACTAGCAAACTGATTCAGCATAACATTAAAAAGATCATTCACCATGGTCAAATGGGATTTATTTCTTGGGCTGCGAAGACGATTCAACATACTCAGGTCAATCAATCAATATTCATAGAATGAAAGGAAAAAAACATGATTACTTTGACAGATGCAGAAAAAGCATTTGACAAAATTCACGATTAAAAACTTCTAACAAATTAAGTACAAGAGGATCACACCTCAACATAATAAAGGCCATATATGACAAACCCACAGCTAACATCCTCCAAGATCAGGAACAAGACAGGGCTGTCCAATCTCATCATTCCTATTCAACACAGTACTGGAAGTTCTAGCCAGAGTACTCAGGCAAGAAAAAGAAATAAAATGCAACAGAATTGAAAAGGAAACTGTCTCTATTTGCAGATGACATGATTTTATCTATAAAAATATCCTAAAGACTCCATCAATAAACCATTAGATCTAATCAACAAATTCAGTAAAGTTGCAGGACACAAAATTAATATACCAAAACCAATACCATTTCTGTACACTAACAACAAATTATCTGAAAAAGAAAGCATCAAAAACAATACAATATTTATGGCTTCCCTGGTGGCGCAGTGGTTGAGAGTCCGCCTGCCAATGCAGGGGACATGGGTTCGTGCCCCGGTCCGGGAAGATCCCACATGCCGCGGAGCGGCTGGGCCCGTGAGCCATGGCCGCTGAGCCTGCATGTCCGGAGCCTGTGCTCCGCAAGGGAAGAGGCTACAACAGTGAGAGGCCCGCGTACCACAAAAAAAAAAATAAATTAATTAAAAAAATACAATATTTAGTAATAAATTTAACCAAGGAGGTGAAAGATTGCTATACTGAAAACCACAAAACACTGCTGAAAAGAAATCAAAGAAGACACAAATAAATGGAAAGGTATCCTGTGTTCATGGATTAGAAGAATTAATATTGTTAAAATGTCCATACTACCGAACATCATCTATAGATTCAATGCAACCCCTATCGAGGGTCCAATGGCATTTTTTTACAGAGGCAGAAAAAACAAACCTAAAATTTGTATGGAACCACAAAAGACCCTGAATAGCCAAAGTAATCCTAAGAAAGAACAACAAAGCAGGAGGCATCACACTTCCTGATTTCAAGCTATATAATCAAAACAGTATGGTACTGGCATAAAAACAGACACATAGACCAAGGGAACAGAAATGAGAGTGCATAAATAAACTCATGCATATAGAGCCAACTAATATTTGACAAAGAAACCAAGAATACTCAAAGGAGAAAAGACAGTCTCTTCAATAAACGGTGCTAGGAAAACTGGATATTCACATGTAAAAGAATGAAACTAGACCCCTAGCTTACACCATTCACAAAAATTAACTCGAAGTGAATTAAAGTCTTAAATGTAAGACCAGAAACCATAAAACTCCCAGAAGAAAACACAGGAAAACAGCTCCTTGACATTCGTCTTGGCAATGATTTTTTGTATATGACACCTAAAGCACAAGCAACAAGATTAAAAATAAACAAGTGGGACTACATCAAACTAAAAAGCTGCTGCACAGCAAAAGAAACAACCGACAAATGAAAAGACAACCTACAAAACGCAAAAAAAATTGCAAACCATATATCTGATGAGGAATTAGTATCCAAAATATATAAAGAATTCATACAACTCAATAACAAAAAACCAAATAATCCAGCTAAAAAATGGGCAAAGGACCTGAACAGACATTTCTCCAAAGAAGATGTATGAAAGGTACATGTAAAGTACTCAACATCACTAGTCATTAAAGAAATGCAAATTAAAACCACAATGAGATATCATCTCATACCTGTTAGAATGGCTATCATCAAAAAGACAAGAGATAACAAATGCTGGTGTGGATGTGCAGAAAAAAGGAACCCCTCTGCACTGTTGGTGGGAATGTAAACCGGTACAGCCACTATGGAAACAGTATGGAGGTTCCTAAAAAAAAAAAAACTACCATATGACCCAGCAATTCCACTTCTGGGAATATATCTGAAGGAAATGAAAACACTATGTTGAAGAGATTACCTGCATCCCCATGTTAATAGCAGTATTATTTACAATAGCCAAGACACAGAAACAACCTAAGTACCGATTGATAAACGATACATATTTACATACATACATATTTACATACATACGTATATGTTTATGTGTACACAAGAGTGAGATATGTTATATACCTCACATCTTTATATACACATAAACATATACATACACACGTGTAAAATATAGTGAATAACATATAATTTTGTTACAGATACTTCTGAATTTTTCCAGAATGATAGTTTAAAAACATGTAAAAGGTGGTTCTGTTAGAGTAGGCACTCCTGATAGCATCCTGTCTTTACAGTTACTAAGAAAGAATATTATTAGTGAGAAGAAAAGCATCCCAAAGATCACATCCTAGTAGAAAATCATGGCTGTCAGAGAAGTTTAAAATTTAATATGTAAAATAATACACACACACAGAATATTTTTCAGCCACAAAAAATGAGGAAATCCTGCCATTTGTGACAACATGGATGGACCCTGAGGGCATTACACTAAGATAAGTCAGGCAGAGAAAGACAAATACCGTATGACCTTTGTGAAGTGCAAGGTGCTGGGGGGGCGGGGCGGTCAAAAGGTATAAACTTTCAGTTATAAGATAAATAAATTCTAGGAATGCTGTATGGTATACATGAAAGTTGTTGAGAGTAAATCCTAAAAATTCTCATCATGAGAAAAAAAACCTTTTTCTTCCTTTTTTTGGATCTGTATGAGAAGATGGATGAGAAGATGGACGTTAACTTACTGGGGTAACGATTTCACGATATATGTAAATCAAATTATGTTGTACACCTTGAAGTTATACACTGCTGTATATCAAATATATCTCAATAAAACTGGAAAAAAACTTTTATCTCAACTGTAATCAAGGTCACTCCCATACTTAAAACTCACCAATGGCTTTCAACACCATTTAGAAAAAAAGTTAAGGTGATCTGCTTACTGCACCGTGTCCCCACTAGACTCTGTGTTCTCCCAAGGCCACAATCCTGTTTTGTACTGGTCTCTGGCACCCAGGGTCTCTTACAGTGCCTGGCACACAGTCGTGCTCAGCACTACTCTCCCCTCAGACAGTCCCTCCCATTCCGCCAGCTTCAGTTAACATTTTTACTCCAGTACTTCTCAATGTCTATGTAACTGCATACCCAACACCTCCACTTTGAATCTCAAAAGCACCTCAAATTTAATGCGTCCAAAACAGACGTTTAACTTTGCTTCCCTTCCCATCTCCTTACCTCATCTACTCCTGCCTTTTCTCCCCCATTTCTCCTCCTCTCATTCCCCTCTAAAAAACTGCCCTATAATTAATCTTCTCTGTCTTGGTGTAAATGGGACTACTCTCCACTCAACTGCTCAAGTCAGAAACTTGAGAAGTAACATTGATTTCTCCTTTAATATCCAGATTCAAAGTCATAACCAGCCTCATCAATCCTGCCTCCAAAGTGGGTTCCCAAACTACCTGTGTTCGGTCTCATTTCTGGACTTTTGCTTATGCTGTTTCCTCCGCGTGGAATGTTTCTTGTTTTCTCCCTGACACGATTAACCAGGTCTCAGCTTTGGCCGTATTTTCCAGGAATCCTTCCTTGCCTTTTCAACCTAGTCTGAGTGCCACTCTTCTCTGCGACCCCTATCACAGTCCGGGTCACACTGTACTGCCAGTCCCCACTGGGCCGCCAGTTAGCTCAGGGCAAAACCCATGTCAGTCCTAGTCCACCGTATCCCCTAAACGTAGCTCTGTGCTTTACAAAGAGCGGAGCCCAGGCACTGACGCTTAAGTGAAGGAATTAATGAACAAACGCGGTAGACTACAGACCCCGCGGGTACAGGAGAGAGCCGACTGGGTCTAAGGTCGCGCTGCAGGAAGAGCCGGGGCCCCCGTGTGGGTCTCGCCAGCCTGAAGCAGGCTCTAGATATCCAAGGAGAACGTCCAAGAGGACGCCCCGCAGGTCACTTACCCGCCTCGGAGCCGAGCCCACGGCATGGCGTGCCAGCCCCGCAGACCCCGGGCACGGACCGGAACAGGGAACCGGGCCGGGGCCGAGCGCGGGCCCGGAAGCAGACTCGCCAGGTGACCCGAGAACCTGCCTGCGGGGTGAACAACGACACAAACGCTCCGAGGATCGCCATACTTATCCGGGCCACTCACGCCGGAAGCGTCTGAGAGCGATCCCGGGTCTCGCGCGGTTCTTAGGGCATTCTGGGAAATGTAGTGTGGAAGAGGGAGGAGGGAGGAGGCTGCCGGAAGCTACGCAATTTCTATTTATAAAACAATAAATTTCTGCTTATGAAGCAATAGATTGTTTCTTGTAAACCGCTTGTTCACAAGTAGAAGGTGTTTATGTGCTCTTTTTCCTAGACCTTTCCTTCGTTTCCATGGCTCTCAATAACAAATTTCCTGCCCAAACCTTTTCTCCCAGCCCCAGGTTTAAATCCAACTGCCCATTCGACTTCTCAGTTCAGACTTCTCACGGGGCCCCACCCCACCAACCCCGCCAAATAACACCTGATTCCAAGCTCTGATTGCCACCACCATTCCCCATCAACTCACGCACCGTTTGCTGTCTTGGAATCTTAAGTGTCCTCTGTAGTAGCTCTTTTCTCAATTTGTGCTCAATTAATTTGCTCATTTATCTGCTTGCTTATTTTTCTCATGCCATGGAGACAATGACTTTATACACTGTATTATAATATCACCTAGCCTGGTACATATGTACACAGCAGACATTTGTTGAGTAAATGACTAACTGAACAATGAAAGGATCCCATTAAGTTCTTCCCAGCTGTCCAGGATGTGCAGGTTTTGCCCTCCACCAGACTATAGGCTGGTGCCTGTACTAACTTGTCCCAACACCTGGCTAAAGAAGGGTGTTAAGTAAACGATTGTTTGAATTAGCTAGACAGATAGACTCATCTTCTAACCTCACCTCACCCACTGCCCAGTAAGAGCTCTGTTTATGAACTCATTCCCTATTCAGGCAGGGAAGGAGAGAGCCCTAGGCTTGGTGATGCAGTCAGGCATGACCGCTGCCCAGTGTGTCCCAACACTTCCTCTCACACCTATCGGATAAAAGGTGTCAGGGAGTGGTAGTGGGATGCATGCAAGTGTCTCCCAGCTATGTCCTTTCTCTGAGAATATACCAACTACTTTCCCAGAGGATAGGCCTCTGTGGTTGTTCATTTAACATCCCCCTGGATATAACTGATTGGACAATGAGTGGACACCTAACGCAGGAGAAGTGAATCCACTGGCTGCTGTATTAGTTCCCTGTAGCTTCTGTAGCAAATCATAACAAATTTGGTTACTTTAAACAACAGAAATTTATTCTCCCACAGTTCTGGTTGCCAGTAATCTAAAATCAGTAGTACTGGACTCAGGTCAAAGTATTAGCAGAGCTGTGCTCCCTTCAGAGGCTGTAGGGGAGAATCTGTCTCTTCCAGATTCTTGTGACTGCAAACATTCCTTGGTTTATGGCTGCATCACTCCAATCTCTGCTTCATATCACCTTCTCTTCTGTCTGTGCCCAATCTCTCTTTGCCTCAATCTGTAAGGTTATACATACGATTGCATTTAGGGCCCACCCAGATAAACCAGGGTAATTTCTCCATCTTCAAATCCTTAACACTTCTACAAAGACCCTGTTTCCATATAACATTCACAGGTCCCAGGGATTAGGAAATAAATATCTTTTCAGGAGGGTGGACATTTTTCAGCTGACCCCAGCTGTCCAGGTACCAAGCAGATTTTATCTCAATATTTCAAACTAAGAAACACAGAAACTATAGTTGATGGTAGAAGCTTGAAGTGAGTAACTATTTAGAGTTAGGTTTGGAACAGCCTTTTTCAGCAATGTGCTCACTAATAAGTGAGCAGAGAAAGCCAGTCTACAGAGGAAGGCAGGAAAACGGAGCAGAAGCAGAAATGGCAGAGTAGGAGGCCTGAGAAAGAGAGAGATGGAGGAAGGTGCTATCTTGGCCAGAGATGCTCCCACTTTCCTTCTGTTAACCTCCTTTTCTTGGGCTACACTAAATTTTACTAATAGGATGACCAAGTCTCCTGGTCCCAGCTTTAATCCTCAGCAGATGCCCACATCTTTCAGAGCCTCAGTCTCTCACCTGAAAAATGGGTATGATGATAGTACTTATCTTGCAGACTCTGAGGATAAAGTACTTTCAGGATCTAATGCCTAGTGTTTCCAAAGAGGGTACAAGAAGGTCATGTGGTAGCCAAGTCGGTGGCTTTCTGAAGATCTTCAGAGGGAGAGCTTTACAGAGGTATATGCTTATCAGTTAAGATTCTCTGGTTACAGGCGACTGAAATCTTTCCTATAAAACAGAGATGGAAGTGATGGGAAGGATGCTTAATATCTCACAGAGTTAAAGGGGAAGCTGAACAGCCAAGCTTCAAGAAGGACTTGAAGGATGGAAGCTCCAGGCAAGAACTGAAGAGAAACCTCTCCAGGAGGCTGCTGTCAGAATGACATGGTTCCAACTACAGTTGGCCCTTTGAAACCACACATTACACATCCACGACATTTTTTTTTTTTTTGTCTGCGTTGGGTCTTCGTTGCTGCATGCGGGCTTTTCTCTAGTTGTGATGAGCGGGGGCTACTCTTCGCTGCAGTGTGTGGGCTTCTCATTGGGTGGTTTCTCTTGTTGTGAAGCATGGGCTCTAGGTGCGCGGGCTTCAGTAGTTGTGGCTCGCGGGCTTTAGAGCGCAGGCTCAGTAGTTGTGGCGCAAGGGCTTAGTTGCTCCGCAGCACATGGGATCCTCCCGGGCCAGGGCTCGAATCCGTGTCCCCTGCATTGGCAGGTGGATTCTCAACCACTGTGCCACCGGGGAATTCCCCACATCCACGACTTCTGCATCCATGGGTTCAAACTGTGGATTGAAAATATTCAAAGAAACAAAATTCCAGAAAGTTCCAAAAAGCAAAACTTGAATTTGCCATGTGCCAGCAAATATTTACGAAGCATTTACATTGTATTTACAACTATTAATATAGCATTTACATTATATTGGGTATTATAAGCAATCTAGAGATGATTTAAAGTGTAAGTGAGAATGTGTGTAGGCAATAAGCAAATACTATGCCATATTATGTAAGGGATTTGAGCATCCTTGTATTTTGGTATTTAAGGAAGTCCCAGAACCAATCCTCCACGGATTCTGAGGGATGACTTTACATGCTTGCCATCAAATTCAAGTTCTGGTGAAAGAAGCTGATTGGCCTGGGTGGGGTTCTATTTACCCCTGGGAAATGGAGAGAGCTGGTCCTCCGACTGACAGTTTCAAGACAACTTGGCTGCATCTACTGGTAGGATTCATCAGGTCAAATCTGGGAGAGGGATGCCTAGCTCTGTGCAGCAAGAATGAGTCCTATTATTTGTAAAACAAAAGTGATGTTTCAATTACTCAACTGCCAGTGATTTTACAAAGTCTGAACTTTTCATTATTTCCCTAAAGGGACTAGGATTTTAATTCTTCAAGATGAGGGTATGAGGATAGATGTCAGGGAGAGGGACGGAGACAGAAAGAACAGGGACTGAGGGAGAAGGGTGACAGTCTGGACAATCTAAGAACCCTTGCAATTTTCATCAACACCCTTGCAACTTCCATAGAGTCTTCAAAACCTTATCTCTGAAGCCTTTCCCAAGGGCCACACCTGCCCCATTTTTGTCCTCACCCAGAGTGTTTCTCCCCTGTTCCTGTTCATGGTCCAAACCCCCAACAGGTTCCTACAGACACAAATTCCTTGGTCAAAGCCCCGTTGTGCGCCGAGAAGGGACCAGTAGCAAGAGAAAGAGTAAAGCGAGAAGGGATACGTGATAAGGGGAGGTCCCCAAGGAAGTATCAGGAAATAAGATTCTAAGTGGGGATGCTGTCCATTGATGGGAAGGGGCCTCTGAACCAGCAGGCAGGGAGTTAAAGATGGGTAGAGTGTGGATAGGTTCTGAGTAGAGAATCAGAGGGCCTTCCTGCCTCTTGGCCTCTCTCTTCTCTGAGCAATGGAAAGCAAAGTCATTGGCTGAGAAGAGGTAGGGTTGTGTTGGGAGCTGCAGGAGTGAGAATTTTGAAGTAGCTGCTGGGGGCTGTGCACGTGGCTGTGATGCTAGAACTTGAATCCACGCAGCCCACCGAGTAGTGGGACGGTCTGTAGCACTGCAGGGCAGTCCTTCCTGATCACTCAGAGCACAGTCTTCTCATTAGCCCTGTGTGTCCTCATGGCAGACTGGTGAAGTAGACAAGGCAGGCACTGATAGTCCCACCTTCTATATATAAGCTGAGGCTCTGGAATTAAGCATTTTGACCAAGGCCACCCAATTTATTCAAAGCAGAGATGAGGCTAAACTCTGTGGTCCCTGGCAGCTGTTACAATGGAAAAGCTCTGTTTCACTTGTGTTTCTTGGGGTAGGAAAAACACTGAGACTTGTGAAAATAATAGAGACTGCCTTCCGAGCCCAGAATGTGGCCCAAAAGAGAGCAGGCAGGGAGACTGTCCTCCACCACGAGATGGTGCGGTGAATGAGTCAGTTCTTCCAACCCTGGAATTATCAGCTTATCCCCAATTTTCCACATGACACTCTGTCTCTTTTCTTCTGACAACACCTACTGAACTACAGTTCTACCCCAAACTGAACACTCAAAACAGAAAATAACTGCCCAAGGCTAAGGCTACATCTGTCTATGATGACAGGCAGACTCTCTGCCCTATAGCACAGGGACATAAATGTCAAAGGCACTTGGGCCGGCTCCTTCCTGCCATCCCGGATGCCCCCACTGTGACGCAGGCCTAGGGCAATCATCCCATGTCACAGGCACTGTGGACATGATCTATCATAGCTGACACTTGGCTCCCCTACTCCCCAGAGCTGGCTGCTGTCAGGTTTGGTATGTGGAACATTTTGTCTGAGGGACATGCTGGCCTGGGTTGAAAGTAATTCCCATCAGCTCAGAACCGGGTGGTCTGTCACAAGGTTATTTTTCAGTTTGATCTGGACTCAGGAAGTCTTTGGGACTGAGAGCTGGTATTTTCAAAGGTTAATAAGCACATCAGAAATTTCTTTCATGAGAAAATGTGATGCATCTGACTGCCCTGACTTGCATGCAGTTCCCAGATCAGAGGCCTGAGCATTATTTCA